TCGGCACCACTCATTATTGGTTTGTCGGAGTTGTCAGTAAGCCCCATGCTTGATTGACGTTATGTGGGCACTCGGTGCCTAGAGTGTATCACTAAAGTATGGCGGAATCAAATATTTGGTATAGCAGCTCGAAGTGCATGATACACTTTAGAGAAGTAATTTGACCGTCTTTTTTAATAACTATACTTCCACATGGTGAACTAAACCCTGAGACACTGCGGGAAAAAGAAGTATGACTAAGGAGAGAAAGAACAGAAGTCTGTTGCGACTCTTCTCCCTCTCTTTCGTCGCCCTTCTTTTTCCCAAGCCTCGGGGTTCAGTTCACCATGTTCAATCATCACCAGCTCGTTTGCACCCTAACATTCTGGTTATACTTTCATTTTATTTATTATCCAATACAGTTATCCTGTGGGTCATTACAGGAAAAGTTGGAACAAAAATAAATTATTTGAATACAATACTGCATATAAGCACACACAAAAAAGGAAATGTAAAAGCATTAAAGTGAACTATGATAAACACTAAGAGTAGCAGTATAACCTCTTGGAACAGTAGTTGAAACTTTAAAACAAAATAACATTCAGGCAGGCATTTGACAAGTTCACTGTTACATATGGTTTGATTTGCAGCAATAATTGTAATACACAAATGCAACTTCAAACTTGAGCTGCAAACATGCGATCAAGAAATCTACGTCCGTTCCCAATGATCAAGAAAGGAAAACTGAAAATATAAAGTGAGCAATGTTTGAATAGAGGAGAAATAACTGCTGGCCAGTGTCTTCATTAATCAGGTGCCGCCTGTACAATCTCGACCTGATCGTTTAGAAGAAAGCACTTCACAACTGCCTGATATGCCAACATGCTGGCCAGTTGCCTCTGTAGGCCTCTGTATGCGTGTGCAATTGTAACGCCAAAATCATCGCATTCATCTCTCAACTTAGTTGCCTTCACTGATTTTGTAAGAGCGTGCACAGCAGTCTCCAAAAGCTGCCGCTTCTGGTAAGCACAGTTTTCTTCTTGTCTCCTTTTTACAGGCCTGTTGGATTGCGCAGTGCTGCTCCCACCACTACTGGAGCTTGCACCGTCGTTGTACATTCCACGGGGACTATGAGTCACACCACTGTTGGCCCCTTGACTCAGGCTGCAGGCCGCATCTTCCAACCCAAAACTTGTGGGGTCCACTACGTCGCTGCCGTCCAAGTGTCCCCAAGGACTATCACTAGCCCCTGTATCTGGTTCAGCCTGTGATTCAGCTTGTGATTAAGTCTGCGACTGTGAAAGGGAAAGAAACGTTATGTGCATGACGAAATCATTTTTATTTCATTTGCAGGACATCTGTTTTTGCTGCTGGTCAATCCTGTTAATTTTGTTCTCTTGGGTAGAGTACTTTTTGTTGTTCAAGGATTTATGATAACAAGAAACCACATTGTGAGAGAGGGAATTCAACCAATAAATTATGTTTCGGCTTAGAGTGAAGACATTGGCCCCAATGCCATGTTTTATTTTTGGCAGCCACCGATTAACACTAACAACAGGGAGTATCGGGTACTGTTAACATTGGGATTGTTTACGTTCCATACTTGTGAAGAAAATGATGGAGCCTCGAAATGATATGCTGTGTGACACACTCGGCATGAATGTGGCGTCGAAAGTTCATCGCATTCTACTCATTGAGATGACGTGCATGTGAAGAAAGTGTTGCCATATGTGCAAATAAATGTGCATCTGTAATCGCTACTCTTGTTTGTCACTTACATTGGAGCCAGACATATTCGATTGGCTTTCGTGTTGGAGGCATGAAATCAACAGGAACAGCAGTTCCCTGTAGTGCCCCCATTGGGGTACATAAACGTCACCGGGGCTTGTCCCCGATTTGTTGCTTGCCTTAACCTTTCGGTTTTCTCGTTAGAACTGTGACCGTAGATTTGAAAACTTGAATTTGACATCTGCCGCTGCATGAAATAAAAACCATTGTATGTTACGTAGGGGCATGATCGTAAAATAAGTCATTCAAGGGTGCCATATATGGCTCAAACTGACTATGTGCCCCTCCCTTTACATCAGATTCGAGTGTGGAATATAAATGCTGGCTCATTTCAGGTGTGAGAGTAATTGAAGAAGCAAAGCAAGGTAGGTATACTGTAAAGTCCACGAAATTACTTCGAAAAAAGCCAACAATAGACCTTTTCCGAAATTACCCAACCATCAAGGAGCATAAGAGAACGCAGTTATGCACACTCCGTGCGCTCGCCTTATCTAATGTCATGGGCCAGTCATAATCCCGGCAGTCGGCGCTGTAGCTACTAGCGCGCTGAGTATATAAGATCATGCTCTGCACCTAATAAAACAGTACATTGCCAGATTCTGACCAGACTACATGGTGTCAGAAGCGAGGTGAAGAGAACAAAGAAGATAGCATGGCGTCATCGCTGCTCCCACCGCCGAAACCGCTGGATACAACGGGCGACCTGTGGCAGTCCTGGCGCATCTGGAAAAGTGAGTTTAAGCTTTTCTCGACTGCAACGATGCTCACAACGAAACCTAAGGAAGTACAAGCAGCCACCTTCCTAATGACGATAGGTGAAGAGGCACGGAAAGCATACGCGACGTTCGTTTTTGAAGCGGAGGAGGAACGAGACGACGTTAACGTGCTCATGGAAAAGTTCGAGAGCTTCTACCGACCTGCCACGAACCTGACATACAATGAGTTTCGTTTCGGCACCCGAGATCAGCGAGAAGGAGAAACCTTTAACGAGCGGCTAACAGAGTTCCGTTTGTTAGCATGTCGTTGCGAGTTTGGCGTGTTAGAAGAGCGTATGCTTCGAAGCCGAATCATCCTCGGGATAAAAGACAAAAAAACTGCAACAGAAGCTGATCTCAGAAAACCTGCCATACGCAAAGGCCGTGGAAATATGTCGAGCCCGAGAACAAGGCCAGGAACAGTTCGAAAAGATACAAAGCTTCGCGGAACAAAAGCATGCAGCCGTTGTTAATCGTATGGAAGCATCATGCCCGAAGTGCGGATTTTCCGCGCACCGAGACCAAAAATGCCCAGCAATAGGAAAACGCTGCCAGAACTGCAGTGGCTACAACCATTTCACAAAAGTATGCAGAAAACCGAAAAAAAAACTCACCCAAAACAGCACGACCAAAAGCAAGTACGGGAGATTCATGCAGATATATCGATAGCGAAGAAGAATATTTCCTGCAGACTTTGCGAATGGCGAGTGTCTCCAACAGAAACCTTTGGTCAGCCCAGGTTCACGTTGAAGACGAGCCGCTCGACTGTAAGCTTGATACCGGAGCGGATTGCTGCGTCATGTCAAAACAGACGCTCCGGCGACTGACAGATAAGCTAACGCGGAAATGCAACGTGGCTCTGAATGGGTTTTTTGGTCATATGAAATATCCAAGAGAGCGCGTTGCACTAACGCTCCGATGTGGCACCCACACAACTACAGCGCAGTTCTTTGTGATGGATCAAGACATACCCCTTACACTTAGCGGATCGGTCGCAGAAGAGCTCGGATTAATCAAGCGAATGGCAACAATTACGAGCAGCGACATGTACGAAGCAGCCAAGCCTTTTGATAATGTGTTCCAGGGACTCGGCAGACTAAAAAATATCTCCTACAAGATGAAACTGAAACCTGGAGCACAAGGCATCGTTAAACCACCGAGGAAAGTGCCCATTGCTTTGAGAGATAAAGTTAAAAAGGAACTCGATCGCATGGAGCAGGATCAAGCAATAACCAAAGTCACAGAACCTACAGATTGGAGTAGTAACATGGTCTTTGTTACAAAACCCAACAAGATCCGCATCTGTCTGGACCCGTTGGACTTAAACAGAGCCTTATTGCGCGAACATTACCCGATGCCAGTATTGGCAGATGTCTTGAATTCTCCGGGTCTGCACGGTGCGAATTACTTTTCCACATTTGACGCCTCCTCTGGGTTCTGGCAGATTGTTTTAGACCACGAGAGCTCCTACTTGTGCACTATGAGCACACCATTTGGACGGTACAGGTTCTTGAGGATACCATTCGGCATTTCATCAGCTCCGGAAATTTTTCAGCGGGCAATGCACACTGTTCTAGAAGATCTTACAGGAGTAGCCGTTGTCATGGATGACATTTTGGTCTGGGGAGCAACCAAGCAAGAGCATGATGCAAACCTGCAGAGGCTGCTGCAACGCTGCAGAGTGGCCAACCTGAAGCTCAACAAAAAGAAATGCCGTTTTCTTCAGAAAGAGGTTCGCTACCTTGGACACGTCATAACCACGGAAGGTCTTCAAGTTAACCCCCAACGCGTGCAGGACATTCTAGCAGTCCCTGCCCCGACTAACTGCAAGTCCCTGCAAATATTCCTCGGCATGGTTAACTTCGTGTCTCGTTTCATACCAAATCTGTCTTCGATTGCAGCCCCGCTGCGAGAACTGCTGCGTAAAGAAGTCGCGTGGGATTGGACGGACCGACATCAGAACAGTTTCAAAGTCCTGCGACAGAGGCTGATGGAAGCTCCAGTTTTGGCGTGCTTCAGACCAGGCAAGCCTGCTACTTTGTCTGTCGACGCGAGCCAACACGGCGTCGGAGCTGTCCTTCTTCAAGATGGACACCCGGTTGCGTACTCTTCAAGATCCCTCACGGATTCACAACGCAACTACGCACAAATTGAAAAGGAAACTTTAGCTATAGTTCACGGCTGCACGAAGTTTCATGACTACATCGTAGGACAGCCCGAAGTCACTGTTGAATCCGACCACAGACCCCTTGAATTTATATTCAAAAAGCCCTTTTCCGAGTGCCCCTCAGACTGCAAAGAATGTGTCTCATTCTACAAAGATACCCGATAACCGTGAAGTTCAAGGCAGGAAAAACTTTGCTAATTGCGGACGCGCTTTCGCGCTTTCCAAGCAAGATCGTCTTGAAAGACGAAGAAGAGCAATTCCACGTGAATGCATTGACGTGCTTACCTATTTCAGACGCCAAGCTGAAAAGCATGTTAGACGCAACAGAAAGGGACCCGGTGATGCTGCAACTTCGCGACTACGCCAGCACATCATGGCCCGACTCGAAGGATGACGTACCGGATGAGCTAAAACTATACTGGAACTATCGCGATGAAATTCACGTGGAAGACGGCCTGGTATTGCGAAGCAACAAGATAATCGTCCCGAAAGCAAAAAGAAATGAAGTTTTGAAGCTTTTGCACGCGGCGGACTGTGGGGAGGAAAAAATGAAAAACAGAGCAAGGGAAGTCATATATTGGCCAAACATTACGAGTGACATCACATCACTAGCACACTCGTGCACACTGTGTCAAAAATACAAACCCAGAAACGTGAAGCTGCCAATGCTTAGCCACGACGTACTGACCCTCCCTTGGCAAATGATAGGAGTCGACCTTTTTCATCATGACGGTCATGAGTTTCTCATTGTGGTCGACTACTACTCCTTTTCTTTTTGAAACCAGGGAACTTCGCCAAGCAACAGCGGCCACAGTGATTTCTGCCTGCACCGAAATATTGTCCACTCATGGACTGCCCGTCCGGATATGCAGCGACAACGGGCCGCCGTTCAGCAGCAAGGCGTTTAAGGACGTTTCGGCGAGCCTGCAGATCCAACAAGTATTTTGAAGTCCTTACCATCCCCGTTCCAATGGAATGGCTGAACGCGCAGTCCAAGAAGCAAAGAAGATTTTAATCAAGTGCTCTCGAGACAAAGTAAGCTTCTGTTTAGCACTGTTAGAATGGCGCAACACGCCTAGAGATGCCCACCTCAAGTCGCCGGTACAGCGGTTAATGGGGCGCCAAACAAGAACACTGTTGCCCGTTACCACAAGTCATATGGAACCCGAAACCGTACCAACAGAGGTAGTGACAAGTCGTCTGAAGGAAATTCGAGACAAGCAGAAGGCTTCATACGACCGAACAGCGCGCCAACTTCCTGATTTGCGACCAGGTTTCCCCGTAACCGTTTATGACAGTTTGCAGAGAACCTGGACTCCCGCGGTCATCGAAGCTACAACAGATGCACCCAGGTCTTACGTAGTCACCACTGAAGATGGTCAGAGCAAAAGACGTACTAGGGAGTATTCGCGACTTCTGCCGACTACTAATACAGTTGAAAATGCCTCGTCGGTCCACGGGAGCGGAACAGCCGGTACTTCGAGTCAACAGACACCTCCCGGGGACGACCAGGTTGGACACGCACCGTCACCGGCAGATGAAGATGCGACCGCCGGAGCTACCAACGTTCAATCGGCTACCCCAGAGCGCAGAAGTACGCGACTACGGAGGAAACCTCAGCGATACCAAACCTCGGAACGCAAGCAACCTGAAGAGGAGGAAGATGCCATGGGCCAGTCATAATCCCGGCAGTCGGCGCTGTAGCTACTAGCGCGCTGAGTATATAAGGTCATGCTCCGCACCTAATAAAACAGTTCATTGCCAGACTCTGACTAGACTACAGTATACTGTATAGTCCACGAAATTACTTCGAAAAAAGCCAACAATAGACCTTTTCCGAAATTACCCAACCATCAAGGAGCATAAGAGAACGGAGTTATGCACACTCCGTGCGCTCACCTTTTCTAAAATAGTCGGGGTAAATTGCGACAAAAGGCTTCGACGAATGCGCGTGCGAAATGCCATTCGAGTTATATGGTTGCTTCCAAAAAATCACTGCTGCGGACATCGGCACTTGCAGCGCGTGTAACTACACTCGCTCTTTGTGGCATTGATAATTATGTGAAAGCTCTATTAAGCACACATACTTTCGTGTCACCTTAACTTGAACTAAGTGCAAAGGCCGCAAGCGCGAGCTCTTGCTCTTGCTGCTTGATCGTGCTTCCCTTGCACGAGCGCATGGGCGACGGAAGTGTCAATGTTACTCGCTTGCGCAATACGTCGCAACGAAATATAAAACCCTCGCTCACGAGGGGATCTCGAGGCTTGATATTAAATGCACTCAACAAGGCAGGGCGCAGACATATTTTGCTCAAGTGAAGGCGAAAATATTAGCGAAGTAGTTTGTTTTTCACTTCAGGAGCGGCCTAAAGCAAATCCCGGGCCGGATCATTCATACATACCTGTAAACTGGGGCCCCAACGCTTCCGCGACGTCGCTGTATCCTTTGTCTTTAAGATGACGTCGGTGATATCACTCATCACGCACGTCCCACAAAAATCGAAGTTCCTCGACCATCGTAATCATTTTCGACTCCTCAGTCGAAGTGAACGGCACAGTTGAAGGGTTCGACGGCATCTCGAGCGAAGCACTGAACTGATCGAATAAACTCGACCGCTCCGACAAACCACACAGTGCAAGAAGGGATGCGCAAATTGCAATAGTGATGGGGCTCCTTAGAAATGGGGAGTTGCCAATTATTGAAGTATTCTCGTGCGACCATCTGTACTAAAAAATATAGATGTTGCCGTGTTGCTGGAAAAAAAAATTCGCTCAGCCACCGAAGTGGGCAACACGTGTCGTCCGACACAAGTTGCCGAGGTTTCCGTTGCCAAAAGCGGTCACACCGAGACAACATTGTCGCTGTCGTCCATGTTGTGTTGCTGTTTCCTCAATGTGACAGGGTTGTCGGGCAACAGAGCCGACAGCCGACATGTTTCCCGACTGTTGAGAAACATGTTTTGTTGATGTTTCCGCCGTGTTTCCTCAATGTGACGGGGCCATTAGGGTCTAGCCTCGTCCGTCCGGCGTCCGTGCTCACATCGATCTTGCTCGTGCTCGTGAGCTCACGTGCTCGTGCAGAGCAAAAAATAATAAAAAAATGTTTGCGCAGTCGACAGGATTCGAACCTGTGCGGGGAGACCCCAATGGATTGCTAGTCCATCGCCTTAACCACTCGGCCAACTCGGCCAGGACTGCGGGACGAGTAGGGGGCTCTGAGATGTGGTAGTAACTCAAGAGCTGGGGATGTCATGAATGAAACGTTGCATCTAGCCGCTCAACGTCTATACAGAAGAGGTCGCTGTGGTCAAATGCGTATATAATCGCGTTAAACTTTGCATGCATTGGCTCAACGTTTATAGACGAGAGGGCGCTGCGGTCAAATGCGTATATAACCACGTTCCATAACACACATTCTCTTTCTGACATGGATGAAAACGAACGAAAGGCTCGGCATGCTGCGGCTCAGCGTCCACGCAGAGAAGCACCACCAGAGCCTCGCCCAATCAACATCATTAACCACGTGGAGATGCCGTCGATTTTTTTTTATTTTTATGTTTTGCTTGGGTAGCTTGGTCCGATTAGGAATTGATTTCTCCCGACCTCGAGCTCGGAGACCCTGGTAGGCGGCGGGAGAAGGGTGGACCCCCGGAAGGGCCGGTCAGGTTGGCTGGTCGTTCCTCCCGTCGTCTGTTCCCGTGAGTCGTACGGGCTTCGGTTTTTCCCTTTTTGGGGAGTGAGTGTGTGCGCGGGGCTGCGTTGCGTCAACCGCCGAGCAACTAGTCCACCACTCCGGGAAAGTCAAGCCTTCGTCGTCCGTCAGACCCAAGACGTCGGTGAGTCTTCGGACTTTGTTTGAACCACGGTTAAACTTTCCCCTGAACTTTGGGTTCACCAGTGGAGCTTTTCCTTCCTCGGAACTTTCGTTTTCTATGCGTAGGCGAACATTGTTCCCGGCTGCATTTGTGCCGCGAGCGGCGAGTTGTTTCGTGTTGTGTCGCGAATTGAGTGCTGTTTTGTTGCTCTTCGTGGCCCCGCCGCCCGAAGTTTCGTCAGTGTGTTTGTAACGCGTGTTGCGTTGAGTTTTTCGTGCGTACCCGTGCGCGGCTTTTTATCGCTTCTTATTCAATTTCTTGTTCGTTTGTTCTTTTATCCCTGCGTGTCGCCGCCTTTCTCTACTTTGCACCGGGCTTGGACCTATCGCTTGTCAAAGTTTCTCGTTTAATCTCAGAGTGTTTCATTTATCAAGTTTATTGACTTGCCTCCCCCCCCCCCCCCCCCCCTCTTCCTCCCTTTTTGTGACATCACCGTCGTCCTCGGAGGGCTTCGGCCGACCTGAGGGGATTAAACATCGCCATCCCCGAACAGAATAAAGAATGTCGAAAATACGGAGATTCAAGCACGACAGAAATATGAAACCCTTCCGCGTGCCTCAGGGTGATTGGTCTTTGAGGGTCATTACTTTCCTTCGAGCACCCTTTCCAGGCGAGCTGCCATCGAGCTACCATTGGCAGTTCCTAGTGGAACCTTTGGTTGCCTTTTCTAAGAATTCATTCATAAAAGCGAAAAGAGAGGAGCTAGCGTTATTGTGAAAAATCTGAACGTTATTGGCTGTCACTCCAATCTCTTAGGTCTCCGCGTAGGGATATTTAAATAAGGTTTGGCTTAGACGAAGGTGATAAAGCCTTCGCCCTATAGCCATACTGAATGGCAACGAGCAATTGAATTTTATTTTCGTAATTTGTGATTAGAGTTTGTTTCTGTATGGTGTCTGAGCCAATCATGTCTTGCTTGCCCGTTTCGACCTTATCGGATATATCACACGCAGCGCGGCGAAAATGGTAAGCTTTTATATATTGCCCTTAACTTATTTGGTGCTCGTTGCTCTGATTATATGTTAAAACAACCAAGTCAGGCTAAAACTGTACTGGGGACATAATTTTATAAAAATATTCTAACTTATTTCGTAGGCCTTATTATATCACGCATTCTGGTGTAGAGTTTTTTGGAAAATGTTTCGTCAGATAATAGCCGACGCACAACTTTTTTACTTGACTTTACTTTATCCCGCAGATTATCTGTTCTTTGGTGACAATTTTTGGTGTTGGACGAGAAAACGGGGTTTTTCTGAGATTATGTTTAAGAAAATGTGGCATGTTATTCCTCAATCATCGCGGAACATTCGCGTGACCCGAATAATCGAAAAACATCCCCGTAGCAACAAGAAAAAAAAAACGAAAAAAAAAAACACGAGAAATGGGATTAAGAGCAAAAACCAGCCTCGCGGTCAGTTCATCGGAGGCAGTGCTTTGTGCCAAAATAAAACTAGATGAAGATTTTCTTTCCACAAGTGTTGGCGTTTTTTTATTCAAGGACCGATTTCGATAAAACCGATTTGGGGCTTAATTTTTGTGGTTTATCGGGGTGAACCGAAAAACCCAAACTATAGTCTTAGGTC